CTATTTGCCATTTGCAACCTCATGGAAGTCGGCCTTGGTTGCCCAATACCCAAAGTCTTGAAAACTGAGTAGGGCATCAAGTTGATACTTGCCCCCAAATCACATAGAGCTTTGGCAAAGTCTGCACTCCCAATAGTGCAAGGAATGGTGAAAGCACCGGGATCCTCCAACTTTGGGGCCATTGAATGTACTATAGCACTAACTTGGTGGGTCATCTTGATAGTTTCACAGTCCATGGATCTTTTCTTCGTCACCAAATCTTTCATAAATTTAGCATAGCCAGGCATTTGCTCCAAAGCCTCCACCAAAGGCACATTAATGGATAAGCTCATCATCATGTCAATGAACTTTTTGAACTGATTCTCATTTTTCTGCTTTGCTAGCCTCTGAGGATAAGGTGGAGGTGGGGCCTAGGCAAAGGTGCCTTAGATTTTGGCACAACCGGCTCCGGCATGTCTATTACGTGTTCCCTAGACGGGTTCACGTCATTTTGTGTTTCCACCTCGGCATCTTGAATATCAATCCTCACTTCTTCATTCACATTTTCATCAATTACATTCTCAACCACCAAAGGAACTTCATTTTCTTGCAACTCAACTTCATCACCCAAAATTTGCTTTTATTTGGAGGCATTCATATCACCGCCTCGTCCACTCCTTGTAGTTACCGCCATAACATGGTTGTTCCCACCCTTTGGGTTAACTACCGTATAACTCGGTAGAGCCCCCTTAGGGCGAGTATTCAAAGACTGTGAGATTTGGCCTAGCTGAACCTCAACATTTCTGATTGAAGTGTTGTGAGAAGCCAATTGCGCATCGGAGTTAGCATTCTTTTTCATCATCTATTCAAACATCATTTCAATTCTCCCATTTCATTGTTGGAAGAACTAGGACCCTGGGACGGAAAAGGCGGTGGGTTGCTTGGTTGTTGGTACATTGGGGGCCTTTGAAAGCCTTGCCCCTAATTTCCCTGGTTGTTGTTCCATCCACCCTGGTTGTTGTTTCCACCCCAATTATTGTTGTTGCCCCAGTTTCCCTGATTGCTCCGATTGTTGTTTTGATTGTCCCAATTTGGATTTTGATTATTGTTCCCCCAATTGTTGTTCCCTTGTTGTTGGTTATCCCAATTGCCTTGGGATCTCCATTGTTGCTGCTGGTTAGAAGAATTGCCCCTTTGGCCTTGATAATTATTCACATATTGTACCTCTTCATTCTGCCCATCATAACCATCATCTTGGAATCCCCCACAATCATTATCAAATTGATCCGAACTCCCTTGGTTCTGTTGACCTCTTTGTCTTCTATTGTTCACTAGCATGTTGACACCCTCCATGGAATTTACTTGGCGAGGATTCTGAACTTGTTGCAACTGTGCCTTTGCTAATTGGTTCATTGTTGTTGTAAGTTCTGCTATAGCCTGTCCATGGTCATGTAGTTCTTTGTGCAAGTGAGTGACCGTGGGGTCAGCCTGTGGCACATTGGCTCTACTTTGCCACGCGGAGGATGTGTCAGCCATCTCGTCAAGAATAGCACAGGATTCATCATAAGGAAGCTTCATGAAATTATCCCCAGCCAGTTGATTCACTATGCATTGATTCGTTGTGTTGATGCCCCGGTAGAAGGTTTGTTGTATCATTGCCTCTGTCATATCATTGTTGGGGCATTCCTTCACCATGGTTCTATATCTCTCCCAAATCTCGTGTAATGGTTCGGTAGGCTCCTGCTTGCAAGCTAAGATCTCGTCTCTTAATGCTGCTATGTGCCCCAGTGAGAAAAATTTGGCAATGAACTTATCCGCCAACTCATCCCAAGTAGTTATGGAATGGTTGGGAAGTCGCTCAAGCCAATCCAACGCCTCCCCTCTAAGTGAAAATGGGAAGAGTCTCAAATCAAAGTGCATCCTCGGACACATTGGTTGCTTGCTCCCCAACAGGTATCCACGAACCCCTTGAGATGTTTGTAAGCATTCTGAGTGGGAGCATCCGTGAAATACCCGTTGCTCCAACAATGTCAGCATCACATTAGTAATTTGAAAATTGCCCCCCCCGGATCCGGGGCGGGACAATTGCACTAGCATAGCCTTGGTTGGGAAGAACTCGAGGGGCCACTCTTGGAGGTGGCGAAGGAGGGTCTGGAATATTTTCATTTGCATTGGCCTGGCGGCCTCTACGTTGTCCTTGATGTACAAGAGGCACCTCATCATCTCCAATATCATCTACCTCCTCCCCCGCAACCACATTGCCAAGAGGGTCATTATTGTTTGCTGCCATTTTGCACCTGAAGTTGTGACACACACAAATTAGTAACGAAGAAGGAAAAAAGAACAATTCACAAAACTACATAGATAGATAATCAAGACCGTTAGCTCCCCGGAAACAGCGCCAAAAAGGTGATCGAGGCCAACCCTGTACTACTATAAAGTAGCAAGAGAGGTCGAAGCAGCTTTTACCCGAGAAGGTCGGGATCGATTTCCACAGGGAGCTAGAGATTGGAACTGAGTTTCTATCTAAGTTAGAGTTGCGTAATTGTTCCTAATTGCACTTCTAAACATTTTTGGTTTTGATATTACTTCTAAATTTATACTACTAAGATGCTAAATTAAGCTAAGTTAAGCTAAGAGGAGACTATTGAAGATTGTCTAATTAGTTAAAAGGCACTAGGGGAGTGACTTTCACCTAGGTGGATACTTGACGGGTTCTCGTGTCTAAGGCTAGGTTGTCATATTTGGGGATTACGATATAACCATTGCACGATTCTATTCACTCTATACCTCTCGGTAGTTCGAGTGATTTTGCCCTAATTGACTTTCTCAAGATCAATTGGGTATTATCATTTGTGCAAGCAATCAGGGTTCAAGTCGGGTATTACGATCTCTCGGTTTAAGCCTTTAATTGGGGCTATCAATTCTCTTGAGTACGCCCCAATTCCTTGTTGGACTGATTTTATAGACTTAGGCTCTCTTTCTCAAGAAGAACCCAAGTCAACTAAGCGTAAACTAGTATTTGCAACCACTAATTCAACAATAAAACCATAAATTAGTCCAAATATCAAACACCCATAGACATTAAAACCTTAAAACACAAGACCCATCAATTACACTAGGGTTGAGCCACAACCCTAGCTGATGGGTCTAGCTACTCATGATAATAGAGGAAAACAAAGAAATAGATGAAGATAAACCCATAATATTAAATTACTAATTAAAACTTGAAGATTCAATGGTAAACTCTTGTAAAATTACTCCAAATAGCAAAAGAACACTATTCACGAGCGCAGCGCAGCTGTAGAATCTAACTGATAACCTAAAAATGGGAAAAGAAACTATTTATACTAGGCCAAAAATACTGGACAAAAATACCCCTGCGGGGCTAGTACGGACCGCACAAAATCGAGTGCGGACGCACTAAGGTTCTTATCTAAAAAATCCTGCTCTCTGAACATGGCCACCGCGAACCGCACAAAATGCACCGTGGCTGCGGTGGCTCCTGTTGCGGTCCGCACAAAATGGAACGCGGACCGCATTGGCATCAATCCTCCAACTTGACAGCTCCCTGAAGTTTAGCTTTGCGGACCGCACAAAATCGAGTGCGGCCGTAATAAAGTCAATGCGGACCGCACAGAATGGAGTGCGGCCGCATCACTTGGCTGCCTGAAATTGAGCATTCTCTGAATCTCTCCTTTGCGGACCGCACAGAGTGGAGTGCGGCCGCATTACTTTTCTGCCTTGGATGAGTACTCTCTGAACCTCTCCTCTGCGGACCGCACAGAATGGAGTGTGGCCGTATTGCTTTTCTGCCTTGGATGAGTACTCTCTGAACCTCTCCTTTGCGGACCGCACAGAATGGAGTGCGGCCGCATTGGTCCTGTTTTGCTGAGCTTGGACTTGTTCTTGGTACTTGTGCATGTTTCACTCCTTTTTGAGCTGGTTTTGACGAATTATCACCTTGTTGATCAAACCCTACAATCAAGTACAACACGTAAGCCTTTGGGACTATTTTGTACACATTTCTAATCAAAACTCAAGTAAGAAGGAGTGTAAAATGCATCATAATCCCTAGTTATCAGTGTCCATCTGAATCCCTTCCAAACCAGCTAGGCCCTAGTGATGTTAGTTTCAAACCATGTGTTCTAGCCCACATTGTCGCAACCACTCTGCTTCCCCGTACTGGCTCTTTCTCTACCTTCTCTCTAAGAGATACTTTTCTGGTCTATTGCCTTGTGACCAAACTCAAAATCAAACTGTCTTCCTGGGTCATCAATTTTATGATTGAGAGTGCAGAAGATCCCACTAGTCTACCCTATAGTATGGCTATCACTCACATTCTGGAAGCTCACAATATTTCCATATCTGCATATCCTTTTACCTCTGTTTTAAAATCTTACAATTCCAGAGCTTTTGCAAGTATGGGGTATGTGTATGTGAAAGGTTCATGGGTCAAGAAACAAGAATGAGATGTCAAGACTGCTCATACAGACTCCAAACCCAAACCTTCTGCTGAGAAACTTAGAGCCATTGCCAATCAGCTGTCTATAATCAAAGATCTTCTCATTTCCACTCAGTCCACTGTTGGTACCATTCATGCTATCTCTAAAGAAACAGGGTCTGATGTCTCCAAGATATAGGTTGCGGTTCTTAGGGTGAGGGAAAATGCTATCAAGGCATTCAAGGAGGTTCATGACAGGCTTGATGGAATGAGTCTCTCAGCCAATGCAAGCTTTGATCAACTGAAGGAGGCCATCTGCAATACTCTTACCTATTTTCTGCATCGCTAATGTGGAAGTTTAAGATATTTTTTTGCTATGCTGTTTTTGGACTGGAATATCAGTCGGTGGATATTTTTTTCTTTCTTATGTTCTAACTCTGCTAGTACATTCTGCTATGAATGTATGATATATGTCATTTTTTTGTTATGTGCATGCCGGTTTTTTATTCCCTCTTTGCTGATGTCAAAAAGGGGGAGACATGATATATGTATTGTGCAGGTACATAATAAGTCGACTATGGGTAAGTCAGCTTTGACACTTCTTGAGGGGGAGTCACAGAACCCGAAGCAGTCGACTACATGTGCCTCAAACAAACTAGCACCAGACAAAGTCAACTGCTCTATTGAGGGGAGCAAAATACAGGGAAGTCAACTGCTGTTTATACACATATATTATTTTGTCATCATAAAAAAGGAGGAGATTGTTAGATATGATTTTAATGATGAAAATAATATATTTGCCCTTTGTATAGGAACTCAAGGATAGCATTCAAGATTGAAGAAATCAATCAGCAATGATCAAAGAACGCATGGATTGACATACAAGATTGAAGGAATCAATCAGAGGCAATCAAGGAAAGCAGACGTAATTAAAGGAAGAAATTGATACTGACGGAATCAATCAAGGCTAAACTAAAGGAATCAAATAGATTAAGTATATCGAAGATCTTGCAGAATATTCAATCAAGCGTCTAAATCTGGAAGGATCAAGATTCCGGGATCGCGCACAAGGGAAAATTTGTTAAAGCTTCTCGTCAGTTAGAGCCGTTGCGGAATAACCTTATTCTTGGAAAGAATCAATCTCCTTCCAAGAATCAAATCTCTTGGGTTGACAAATCTCTCCAGAATTCAAGCCTCTCTCAAAGTATCTAAACTTGTAATCACACCTTAGCAAACATACTTTGATTGAACCAAACACCCTCTCTTTGTTCTACTACAAAAAAATATTGTAGCTCTACTAAGACCTGCTGTGTAACAAGTTAGAGAAGAAAGAGAGAACAACACTGGTGAAGCATTGTATCAAAAGAAACGAGTGATATAGGAATTGAGCTATCGGTGTAGATCACACCATTCTCATTGTACTTGTAGAAACTCATTCACTGAAAAGAACTCCCTGGCAACCCACTGGGACTGGACTAGGATTCACATTGAATCCGAACCAGTATAAAATTCTGGTGTCTTTAATTCCTGCATTTAATTTCAGCATCTTAAATTCTGTCGTTACTATTATCTAGTTATTACATCTAGTCGACTAACTGAGAAACTAGTCAACTAATAGCAATCAAGTTTAAAAATAAACAATTCACCCCCCTCTTGTACTTTCACAGTGTTGTCCTACAAGTGAGGCCTGGGAAGGATAGAGTGTAAGCAATCCTTACCCCTACCTTTAAGAAGGTAGAGAGACTATTTCTAGTAAATTCTTGGCTCATGAAAGATAAATGGAAGAGCAATAACAAGCAAACCAAGTCTGACAACCTAAGCAAAAATAATTATCAATTACGATACACATTAATATAAAAACTTGTCCAACTTTCTTAATGAATTATATGTTTATGAATGATGATTGATGACATATCTTCTAGATAGATTTATCAGTTTATTAGTAAATTCTCTATCAAAAAATAGAATCCAAACAATACATCCTTTTCAGGTGCGTTTTCAACCTTTTTTGGGTTCAATTTTATGTTTCAAAAAAAACTCTTGCTACTATCAACCGTAGCTAGTTCTTTTATTTTTTCTTAAACGAAGAAACTCTATTTTGTTTCACAAATCACTATCCACGACTTTTTAAGGATTCTTCAGGATTTATCTTTACCGGAAGAATCCTATTTTGTACTGAACTGGATTTTAGTATTAAATATATGAACATGTCTATTCAAGGAAAAAAAAGAAAACAATCAACCATGAGATAACTCAATCATGTCCTAGAAGTTATCATATACCGGGACGGAGCTAGAAGCTCAGATATGGATTCGGCCGAACCCAATAATTTTTGTTCAAACAATATATTTTGTATTGAGAAATTTTATTAAACATGCACACATATTTAATTTAGAACCTAATTATTAGCATTTAAAATCGTCATTTTAAAATTCAGAACTCATAATTAAAGTTAAAATTCATATACTAAGCTGATAACAATAGACACTATACTTCTTTTTTAGAAACTACACTTAATCTTTGCAAAAAGGCCGAGAAAGGTATAATAAATCGTGAAAGTAACTAGGAGATTAGTATAGTATTTTTAGAAGACATTTCATTTTTAATAGAAAATCTCTTTCACAACCTAGTTATTTACATTTAGCAACTTTGGCTGACTATTGAATATAAACAAATTATTTACTATCATGAGCAGGTGTACATTTACTGACCAGACATAAGAATCAGGCGATTAACTTTAACTCTTACTTAATGACAGTAAGGAAAAATGAATATTTTTCAATTTTCCCAATGAAGTTCCAAAAAAAAAAAAAGCTTCCGCAGAATTTTAGTTTTCATATACACACGGAGAGGTAAGATTCCACTTAACCCGGATTTTTCAGACAGCGTTATTAAAAAGAATTTGAATTTCTAATTTTATTAATTAAGAATAATTTTATTTCAAATTTTATAGTTTGTATTGTGACCGCTGAAAATCAATTTGAAGCGATCAGCCCTAGGTAAATGAAGTAATTTTTATGAGATTTCTAACCGAATTGATTTCATATTTTACAGCCGAGCTAACAATAAGGTCGAACATTAATTGGGAATTTTGCGTCCTAAATAAAATGCCAAAAAATAGGATCTCTACAAACTCGACAACAATAGGAACAATGCGAGTTTATACCGTAACACGTAACATGTACAACTTTACATTATGTATCTTCTAATTTATTGTTGTTGCTATTTTGAAGTATAAAAAAATTAAAAATTTTAGGACCTAATTTGTTTTTTATAAAAGAGAGAATCGGCGAGAGTATATGAGTCAAATCTGTAATAATTAACTCACGATATTTCAAGAAAAATATTTCATATATATATGTACTAGTCTTCTTTTATTTATTTATTTATTTATATGATACTAGTCATTATTGACTTATTGACCTTCATGGTATGGCATAACCTAGCCATTTCAAGGCAGGTCTCACTGAATTGGCATATAATAGTAGTATTTTTAGTTTCCTAATATATATTTATCTTCTAATGACAAAATCAACTATTCTTAATTCAAGTCCAAAGATTATTTAATTGCTTCTTTCTCGATGAAAAATAATTACAATAATAACAATTTTTGTGTCTCAATATGTCAAGCAAGTTCAGTTCGGCTATATAAATTTTCACTCAATATTTTACTTTATTTAAACTCACCTCATTCTAATAGTATTAAATCATAAAAGAGAAAAATAAAAATAAAAATTAAAAGAGGAAGTAACAATAAACTATGGAAACAAAAGTATCACGGAACTGAGTTTTATAAAAACATTTTACTCTTATTTTGTTGCTTTTGACCTTAATGCCGTTTCACAACTTTCACTTTTATTTTATTTTTAATAACATTCACATTATCAAGAATAAAACAAAAAATGGCACTTGTTTTTAGCCTATCATGTTAGATCCTTGTTTATATATAAAGAGCAACTAACTCAATTCTCTAAAACCAACTCAAGAACAAACTAAAAAAAATAGCCATGGTTTCCCCTTGCCTCAATACATGCACAATACAACAACCTCGAGCAACACTTAGTAGAATCCACATATTATTACACTTTTCAGCCATATTAGGGTTACTTTACTATAGAATAAAACACTTATTCCAAAAAGACGTATCAATTATATCATGGGGTCTTATTACAATTGCTGAGCTTATTTTCACTTTCATATGGTTAATTACACAATCTTTCCGTTGGCGGCCGGTTGCTCGGTCCGTCGTGCCGGAAAATCTTCCGGCTGATACAGAGTTACCTAGTGTTGACGTGTTTATATGTACAGCTGATCCTATTAAAGAACCAGTTGTTGAAGTTATGAATACTGTTTTATCAGCTATGTCACTTGATTATCCGCCGGAGAAGCTCGCCGTTTATCTTTCCGACGACGGTGGCGCCGCCGTGACGTTGTATGCTATTAAGGAAGCATGTGTTTTTGCTAGGGTTTGGGTGCCTTTTTGTAGGAAGTATGGTATAAAGACTGTATGTCCAGAAGCATTTTTCTCTTCTTTTGGTGATGATGAACGTTTGAATATGTTTGGAAATGAATTCAAGAATGAAGAGGAAAATATCAAGGTAAGATTAATTAGTTATCCTTTTCGACGATAAAAATGGAGTCAGGATTTTTAATAAGGGATTTAAAATATAAATAAGTAAAAATAGGAAGAAGCCAGGAATTTGACATTTACTATAGTTACATATACAATAATTTTAACCTGTTATACACAGTGTACTTTTTCGGCAAAGAAGTTCGGAACTCCCTTTAGCTCCGCCCCCGTTGATAGAGCATGTCGTAATTATCTCTTTCTTCTAATTTATTTTAATGTGATTTAGACATAAAAATACATTTATTAATGCATATTAATTAATTATTTTATTCGAGCATTGCAGCGATGATAATAACAATGTTCTTATAAACCTTAAATATACTCGTTAGTAAAATCTTAGGGGATTAATTTTAAGAACCATATGCTAGCAACCGCCCTATATTTAAGAAATACCAAGAAAAGTATATGATCTTTGTGTTTTTCTCTCAAAGTAATGAAATTTTGAAGAGTTGACTTACTTTCATTTGTCCGGAGTTATCCGTTTATACTTATTTTTTTATCTTGTCATTTTCGAAATATAATTTTGTCCATGATTGAACTTCGAATTTAGAATTGGACAAATTTCGACTTTACATTTATACATATTTATAACTATATAAGATAATGAGTATTTTCTTATGCAGGCGGCATACGAAGTGTTAAAGAAAAATGTAGAGAAAGCCAGTAGCGTTGAAGGGTCCGTCAGAATGGATCGACCTCCCTATGTTGAGGTGCGAAATATAACTCTTCATAATCGTATACTTTACTAGTGTATGGTAAAAAAGTAATTATTGTTATTCTATCCGATTCAATTTAGATGACAAATATCGCTTATCGAAAGTCAAACTATGAGAAAAGTCAAATTATTATATGAAATTTGATTAGTATTTTAAAATATATTTTTATCATATTGATCATATGAGAAAAGTTGCAACTTAAATTACTTTTCGTATAGTTTCTGATAATCAAAATTTTGATTTCAAAATATTGCGTTGAACTAATCCAATTTAACTTTCAAAGTTTAGTCAAATTAACTGTGGATAAACGAAATGTGTCATCTAATATTGAAATAGAGGGAGTATTATGCTATGAGATCTAATTAATTAGTACACATCTATAGGTTTGTTCTAAGAAAATTTAGGTTAAAAAAACGTAATGGAGCTAAGATTAACAATGATAACTGATAGTATGAGCTTTTTTCCCATTTAAATCATGGTACACAATGTTTTACTTCTATGATTCTCATAATTACACTAACATATCATATACTACTTGTCTTGATCAAAAAGTTCACAAAATTAGAACGTAATTTCCAAATCAAACTTCATTGGCTACTCGAACTGAGAATAAATAAGTTTCTGGGGAAATTATAGCTTAATTCCTCCATCAATATAACTAAGAAGATTTAATATTTTTTATCATGTAATGAACTGCAGGTGATACATGATAATATGAAAATCGAAGGGTGTGAAGATAAGCAAATCAAGTTGCCTCTATTAGTTTATATGTCACGCGAAAGGCGACCATCGCGCCCTCATCGTTTCAAGGCTGGAGCTTTAAATGCTCTCGTAAGTCCACCAAAATTAGCGATAATATTTTTTTTAGTATATATAACTTAAAAATTATCCCGTCTTTGTATTAACAAGCATACTGAATGTGAAACTTATCGGTAATTTTGGTGGTGATGACTGCAGCTACGAGTTTCAGGGGTAATGAGCAATGCACCATATATGCTTGTGTTGGATTGTGACATGTATTGCAATGACCCTTCCTCTGCAAAACAAGCCATGTGTTTTCATCTTGATCACAACATTTCTCCAACTCTCTCTTATGTACAATTCCCTCAAACATTTTACAACGTTAGTAAAAATGATATCTACGATGCTCAATCAAGATCTGCTTACAAGGTACACATCCTGTTATATCACAACTAAAAACTATTTCAGGTTATTCAGCTTCATAACATCTATCTTTTGGATTTAAATTATATGCACAAATCATGTAAAGTTGTCTCCGTATAGCCTATGGGTTAAGGATTCGAGCCGTGGAAGCAGACACTAATGCTTGCATTAGGGTACGCTGTCTACATCACACCCTTGAGGTGCGGTCCTTCTCCGGACCCTGCGTGAACACAGAATACTTTGTGCGCTGCCCTGCCCTGCCCTGCTGTGCTAATTGTGTAAAGATATTTAATAATATCAATATATTTTAACATGTGAGTTACCATTTTTACAAGATTGCCAGTTAACACTTATTAATTATCTTATAAATAACCTGATTATGTAAATATTTTTATACCGTCCGTACATATAATTTAACTTATATTTTTTTGGTCATTCTATACAGAATAAGTATCAAGGCATGGATGGAGTAGGAGGGACTGTTTGTGCAGGCACAGGCTATTATTTGAAGAAAGAAGCATTATATGATAGTCCAAATAACCAGGATATGACTCCACTTTTTCTAAAAGCTCAATCTGAGTACAAGTGGGAATCACTAATGTTTCAATCAGGTCTACAACTTATTATTTCACATAGAATAATAATTTTTTGTGCATATAATTCTTTGAACATTAGTTAATTATATATTTGGTATTCACAGAGGAGTTACTTCAAGAGGCAGAAGAAAAGTTTGGTGCTTCTAGAAAGTTCATTAATTCGATTAACTCTTTGAATGATCAAAGAAAAGGAAGGGAGATTCTATCAAATGAGATTATAGATGAGGCTAAAACTCTAGCTTCTTGCACCTTTGAAGAAAATACAAGTTGGGGTGAAGAAGTAAGTATTCATCCTACTACATACTTCTATATCTGTTAGGTATGTTAAATGAACGGGTTGGACTGATTTTGGGCGGGTAAAAATGAATTGAGTCAATAAATAGACGAGTCAAATGACTCGCCCAAAAACTACTTGGGCTGAGATGCGTTAGATCAAAATAGGCTAAAATTTGGGTCGTAGCCCAATCCGTCCAACTCTTACCAAGCTTTAATTAATGTAAAAATAGCACGGGCTAGCCAGTTTTCGGACTGGTAATTGAAAAATAGCCAGCGTTTGCAAAGTCAATGAAAAATAGCCACTATTTTGCTGCAACACGGAAAGTTCCAGCATAATATACTAGAGATTGGTGCACCTGTGTATGAACTTCCAGCATATTATGCTGGAACTCCAACACGCGGAAAGTTCCAGCAAATATACTCGAGATTGGAGCACCCGTGAATGAACTTCCAGCATATAATGCTGGACCGATATATTATGCCGGAACTCCAGTATATTATGCTGGAACTCCAGTATATTATGCTGAATATTTTTCGGATTCTGAACGATGTTTTCGTTCAGATTTATCTTTACATGAAAAGTGACTAAATTTCGATTACTTTGAAACCGTGACTATTTTTCAATGACGACTTGTAAATCTGACTATATTTGAATTTCTCCCTTAATTAATGTGTGTTGTTTTCTTATGGATTTTTTAATTATCAAATAAGATTTGTTTTCTTTTATTATGGTCATATATAAGATATCAAATAAAAAAGAATTAGTTTTAAAATATTTTAGCAAAATTACTCATGGATCAATTTGGGCTAAAAATCAGCTCAATTTTAGATGGCTTGAGATGGACTGGGTTGAGTTCCACAAATGAGCGGATTAATGACTGATCCAACCTTGGGCGGGTCGGGCGAGTTAAATGAGTTTGAGCTCAAACTGCCACCCCTATTATCTGTATCCAGGGGAGAATCGAAAAATTACACTATGTATATAAGTAAAATATCAGGTTTTAGAGGTACATAACATATATTGAATACCTTTTGTCGAGACTTTTTTACTTTTTTCAAATTTGAACACCCTTGAGGAAATTTCTGGCTTCGCTACTGTCAGTATCTATTTAGTTATGTGATCATCTTATCTAAAAGCTTATACTGTTTTATTTACAGATCGGGTACTCGTATAATAGTTTACTCGAGAGCTCGTACACGGGGTATCTATTGCATTCTAAGGGATGGAAATCTGTTTATCTTTATCCAAAGAGGCCATGTTTTCTTGGTTGTAGCACCATTGATATGAAGGATGCTTTGGTTCAACTTATGAAATGGGCTTCTGGATTAGTACAAGTTGGTCTCTCAAAGTACAGTCCTCTCACTTATGGAGTGTCAAGAATGCCTTTAGTCCAAAGCATGTGTTATGCATATTTCATGTTCTCACATTTTCTCTCCATTTCTTGCTTCCTTTATGGCATTGTTCCACCCTTATGCTTCTTGACTGGCACTTCAGTGTTTCCCAAGGTAAAAACTTCTATCCCTTTGATTTATTACCTTGATCCTTCAATTTATACTAAGGTAATTTGTTAGATTTCTCTAATCATGGTACGAAAATTTGTATTACCTACAAGAAGTTCTTCAACTATGAGTACATTTGTTAGTTTTCTCTAATCAGGTAGCAAAATTTGTATTACCTACAAGAAGTTCTTCACATCCGATGTTCGATACCAAGTGCACGGATAATCATTCTCAAGGATGCTATTTAGAGATTAGCCAGTACTTATTTTGTCTTGAAATTTTAAACTAAAAAACCTAACTTCAGGATAATTCGAGATATTTTTGTCTCGAAAATTTGAACTAAAAAACTGAAATTCATGACCCACTGGCTAATTCTTAAATATAGCAGCCCCTTAGAGTGGCTACCTGGTGTCATTTCTACCCTGTATTGGACCCTCCATTAATCCATATTCGCACTGGGTAAGGCTCATTATAAGGGGAAGCGCTTAAAGGTGGAGCTAGGATACAAAGCTTATGGATTTGTGATTCCAACCTCTTTTTGAGTTACTGGATTCTAAATTGATAATTTGTACATATAGTAAATGAATTTCTTAAGACAAATACAGAGACGATTACTAGGTTCGGCCGAGCTAGCTCTGTCCCAGGAAGGCTTGTTAAGGGTTCATACCCAGTGCTCACACCCGAGACCTCTAGTTAAATGTTGAAGCCTATCCATCCCATTATGACCATTGTTGGTTCAAGTATAATATCATTAAACGTAGAATATCCCCATTTTGCTCGCCAACCTAACTTACAAATAGATCGGGGGATCACACTAACATAATTGATCATTCTTCTAAACTGATATAAGAAAATTAGTGTATACAACTCATTTCAATTGTCTTTTTTTTCTTCTTTTCCTTCTATTTACAGGTGACAAGCCCATGGTTTGCACTATTCACAACTATATTCTTATCATCATTGCTCGAACATTTATATGAAGTCTTATCTAGTGGTGGCAACTTGAGAACTTGGTGGAATGAACAAAGAATTTGGATAATAAAAACAGTCACAGCTTGCTTATTTGGATGCTTAGATGTTTTAATGAAGTGGTTAGGTATTGCAAAGGCAAATTTCAGGTTAACAAACAAAGCAATTGATGAAGAGAAACTAAGGAAATATGAGAAGGGTAAATTTGATTTCCAAGGTGCTAAGTTGTTCATGGTTCCTTTGACTTTTTTGGTGTTGTTTAATTTGGTGTGTTTCACCTTTGGAATGAAAAGAATGGTCTCAGAGAGGAATTTTGAGGAGATGTTTGGACAAGGTTTTCTTTCTTTTTATGTTTTAGTTCTTAGTTATCCTATATTAGAAGGATTAGTATCAAAGAAAGTCAAGTAAAAGTCCTCAATTTGTTACACCCTATAGCATTTTCTTATTAAGAATAGTTATAGAGGTGAGCTTCTGGACAATGGTGAAAGCAAATTTGTGTATAAACTCGCGTATAAATAATGCTACTATTTAATGTTGAGAAAATAACACAAGTATTTGCAATGTCAATTGTTTTTTTTTTCGGGACCATTTCTGCGTGTCATCCTTGCGTAGGGGCCCTATTAATCTTCTCTGTATCATTCCACTTTTATCGAATTTCCCCGAAGGGGCATGTCAAATAGTTTATATGTACATTTAAATTCCTGCATTTGAATCTCTATTATCTAATCCCTTATAATGTCCAAATAATCCATCAATATTGCCCTTATAAAGTAACTAGATTGATGATGCCCGTGCGATATTAAAATACATAAATTATAATTAAGACCTCACCATAAAACACGTATAGTATGGCTTTTTCTTTACAATATGTACAAAATGTGTTGTATCAGATGACTTTTTCTTAATAATTTGTGCAAACATAATACATAAATGTGGTTCTGTTCCAACAACCAACCCTCATTTACAACATCTTTTTCAAGTTGCTTCTTATTTTAGCAAAAGGTTGTATCGGTATTGATCTCTAATCTAAAACCTTTGATGATAGAGAAAGAATTTCTGGTTATATGTTACAACTGTATGGGGGTACCTAGAGTTCAAGCAAAGAATCGCACTGTGACGCTTAGAGACTAAACAAATCAAGTTCACTGGCTTATTCCTTCTTGAATGTCTATATGATGGCGACTTCCAAAAAACTTCAGTCCTCGAACCAATTGCTCCTAGCACACCTGCCAAACTACTTGGGAAGCCATGCACTTACCACCAAAGGCTGCATCTGTTAGTATCTAGTAGTTTATATAGGCTGTATCTGTTAGTATCTAGTAGTTTATTCATATATATATATATTGTTTTCTTGTTGCTGCGGCCTCAATACAATTCTGGCTATCCTCTCTCTTCTTTTGCGTGCGGCCCGTGATGTTTTGATCCTTTCTTTCTTTCTTGCTCTATCACTTTTTTTGAGGGCCTCCCCCGTGGCGGTACGTGGATTCTCGAGGGCCCGAAGGAGCCATCATCATCTTACCGAAATCGGTTTCGGCACTCATGACGGCCCCGACAATTAAAAGAAAGGACAAGGTTATATATATATAATTCCTAATGCACATGCATCATCACTTGTTGTTCCTGAAAATCAAACCCAAATTTCAGTAGCTATAAGCACTATCTATATCTTTTTATCTTTTGACAAGAAAAATAGTATAATCAGAATAGAGGCTTTTTTTTATCTTTTGACAAGAAAAATAGTATTTGGAGTGAGAGACACTTTAGTTCTCAACCTTAGAATCACTCTTTACATTTACCAAAACATGTCCATACAAAGACTAGAAACTGAATGAAGATCATATTTCCATCTTGTTCACATTGATCTTTTGAAAATGGGAAAGAAACAAAGAGAAGATCATATTATTCCTTAAACATCAAAAAGATAATTGTCTTGGAAAGTTCTCTCGAGTTATATTGCTTTCTTCTTGCAGCCATTTCTTCGTGAGTAAATAACAATGCGCACAAAACCAATAGGTACTATCCACTTCTTTTATATTTATATATAATATATACGATAAAATCCAAGTTAATGAGATATCATGACCAGCGATATGAAAAATTAAAGTAACTGGAAAAAAAGTTTATTAAGGTAACAAATAATTCATTTCTTACCTCATGAAATGAGCCATCCACAGTTCACAATCAACCAGGCCATACATGTGAGAATATAATTTTGCATCAGTGCTGCATAAGCCGCTCAGCGATTCCATCTCCTGCAAGGATATTTAATAGAATAACAAAGTTTTATAAACCATATATCATCAAGAAAAACCAAAATAGAAAATCCATATTCCACTTATAGTTTTATACCGTGGAAATAGAGAGCGGCAAGCAAGGAAGCCAGGTTCCCTGGAAACGTGTTCCTAGCATGGCCTAAATGGCTGAATGAAGCACCCAAGTATATTTCATGAGCTCTTGATCCGTCTATCATCCTGCTTCTTATTATGGGGTCATACAAAAAGCATTCATTAAAATTGTCGGCTTCTTCCTCATCTCACCTACATGTCATATTTTATACATTCACAACCGACTCATGAGTCAAACGAAATGAAGTAATTTAATAACTAAAAGAAAAAAAGGACAAATTTGTCTCTCATGAAATGAAAAATAAACATTTGTTTAATTTCTGATTGCACGACGTATAGATGTCCACTCTCCCATCCATATTGTGAAACCAGCAAAGGCAATAAGCAAAACAGAAAGAATCATATTTATTAGTTGAAAATCTAAAAAAGTGCATATTTTAATAATTAGTTTATTTGCTATCAAAGGTCTACTACTTAGTCCAAGATGAAGTAATAATCATGCCACAAATCCTTATAAAAAATATCATACTATAAATAAAAGAAAAAAAACATCGAGGAAAGAACAAGGGATAACAATACATATAATATGACTAAGCATATCACAACAGTTTAAAGCAATATATATACCAACCTCTCGCAAAGCAACTTATGAATGACACAACTAACATAATGCATATGTCACCTATATTTGTGTAGTCCATACTCCATAGTCCTGAAATCACCTCAGTGGTCTGGCAAGAACAAGTGCATGATATGTTGGACTCGCCAAACAGGTTGAATAAAGCAATAAAAATCTCAATAATTTGCTAATTGAGGAGGAACAAGAATACTTAACACGGCATACCAATATCTTTGATAAAAAACTCTTTACCAAAACCGAGAATTCATTTAAGAATCAATTAAACTTCAAGAAAACTTATTCATTAGAATCAATACTTTCACGAAAAGCTCAATTAAGCTTAATCTTCAAGAAAAAATCAATTGAAATCCATCTTTCAAAAGAAAAGATCAAATTTAGTGACAAACTATGGTGTAATCAAAATCTTATAAAAATAATTAAGAAACAATTAGTACCTTTGAAGAAGAGAGTAACCCAGTCCAAGAATACTGGGGCGACGCAAGTAAAATTGCTCGATTGTGAGGGGAAAACACACACATGAGCAATCAAACAAAATCCAACATGCATGAAGAAATTCCAACAAAAACTACCCAAATGAACATAAAACTAACAAATGCCCACCATATAAAGTCCAATTAGGAACAATATGAATGCATTTGACAAAGAATAAAGGAATACTCACAAGAATTAAGAAAATACAGCACAACCCAGAGACAACTTAAACCAAATGAAAAAAAAAACATGTGAAAGCCGCTGAGAGGAGCAAAGGAGAGGAATCAGCTTTGATAAGTGAGAGAGTGCTGATTTTGGATTCTACAATCTGGGTACATGATTTGAGTGAGCATGTGGGAAATAGAAACGAAGCTGGAAGAGGAAGAGATGCAAGAAGGTGATGTACACGTGATAGATGAAAAAGGAAGTATATGACACGTGTAAACAGAAAAGGATTACTAATAACTACACTGTACAATTCATACATCAATTTGTACAATAGTGGAATGCTGAGTTCGTACACCCTTAGCCATTTATATAAAATAGAATACAAAAAGCTTTAACAACTTCTTGACCCCTTCATCACTAAATTTCTCCCTTTTCATTTTTATCTTTTCATTCAATTCTCTTGCTTTCACATTTACTTTTTCCCTAGTCTTCTCCTTCACTACCTTCCTTATACCTTTTGCCACTTCTTCTCTCTTTATTTTCCCCATTTTCACCTCTCAAAATCACCTATGCCAAGTTCCTCGACCAATTTTGAATTCAATGGCTGATCATGATTCATAGGCAGACTATTATCGGGACGCCAGAAATCATACTTTCTAACGTCGAGTTCCATCTACAATGAGTAACAAAACCTCCAATTCTTGAATGGTTCAAAACTTAACTTCGCGACACCTATCCCTTTGTCCTTTCAAGAAAACTTTGTGGAGCTATTTCTTCTAAAGTAGTATTCACACCTATTGGAAATTTGATTGTTCAAATAAAATTTACTCTACTTAGATCAAGCCCTTTGGCTATCTCTTCAATTTCTTGCTTTGAGAAAAAAAAGTTCACTTCCAAATGATACAAAAACACTTGAAAATGTATCCTTCTTGTCTAGCCATGATTAAATTGTCACCTAATTTCTCCTCTTCACCTATATTGGCCTCCTGGATGAGTATACCAATTGGTATCAACTCCTTATTTCCCAAGATAGAAACATAATCTATATACTTTCCCTCAATCTCCCTACAAGTGTTCAACAAAACAATATCATGAGATTGTTCAAAGGATTTAAGGATCACGTATCCAAACGCTTTCTCATCCCGTGGTTTTAAGGGTTGAATATCTAATTTCTTGATCTTATAATCATGTAGGTATAAGGATGAAAAAGGAAATAATATAAGGCAAGTGAAATTCAACTAGTTGTATTGAGATATTCTTGGAGTTTTTATCTTGGATTTTCTTGATAGAATTAAGAATAATAGGTGTGGAACTGTGGATAGATATAAATGTGAAAGTTCATTTTATACTTTCTTGGCTAGAGCCAAAAAGGGGTTTACATGGCCATGACCTAGCCACGGAAATAGTAGGATACTAGGACTATATTTCTTACCCTCCATAATTTATGATTTCTTCTAAAGCATCATAATTTTATAGCTCAGGCAAGGTTAGCTAGATGGACTTTTCATTTAAATTTTGTCACGACTCGGGATTCCCATCCTCGGGATTGTGATGGCGCCTAACATTTCACTTGCTAGCCAAGCCAACGTTAGAATAGTTTTTAGCCATTTTAACAGTTTAATTAAATAATAACCAAGAAACTAAATAAATTGAAATAGAGTGAGAGAACAATAAGAACAACGATATCTAAATACAAATCCCAGAACTGGTGTCACAAGTGCATGAGCGACTAGTGTAATACAAAAAATGGTCTGAATGAAAACACGACTGTCTGAAATAAAATAAACAGCTAGAATCAGGTAGAAAGGGACTTCAGGGCTGTGAATGCCGTGTAGCTCTACCTCAAGTCTTTGTCAGGCAATCAATTCGAGCAATCTACTGACCGCCGCTAGGACCGACTTCAAAATCTGCACAAAAAGTGCAGAGTATAATATGAGTACAACCGACCCCATGTACTCTGTAAGTGTCGAGACTAACCTCGACGAAGTAGTGATGAGACTAAGGCGGGTCACTTACAATAACATGTATGCAGTTTAGTAACAATAACAAGAAAGGTATACAGGAAAAATAAGGCAGTTAACTTAGGAAAATACACTCAATCCTCGAAATTAGTAAAACCAGAAACACTAGTCCTCAGAATCTCGTACGAAAACACCGAAAGCTAATACAATGATACAATGAATACAAAACACACTATCCGTTGCGGCACGCAACCCGATCCCACCGTACAAACGCAACCCTCCCTTATTCCACCATATCAATATCAAGAATAACATGTAAAATCCATTGTGTCGCGCAACCCAATCCCACCATATAATCAGAATCAATATCATAATACTCTCTTATTTTACCATATCAATATCACATATAAAATCCGTTGTGGAGTGCAACCCGATCTCACCATATCAATATCAATCCTCCCTTATTTCACCCGTTGCGGCGTGCAACCCGATCCATAAAAAAATCAATAAGTGTAATCAATTCAACAACTAAAGTCACAGGAATCTCTACGAGTAAAGAATATGAAGCAAAACCATAAAAGAACCTCGTACCAAATTAAGGAATGCTGCAATTAATACTACGCAACAAGACAAACCAAATACACGACAATTAAAGTGTACAGGTAAGACAAGTAAGGCAGGTAGAAAGTAATCATGGAATTATGGAAGAAACGAGCATTTCAATACAAGAGTAAATAGATGACAAGTAAAAAGTTACGTCATAGAAAGCAACATGTAACAGATAAGACGTGGAATGAGGTAATTAATGAAAATACGGGAAAGCATGTAAACAACTATTTTGACTGCACATATACACTCGTCACTTCACATATATGCCGCTAAATATGTAATTCACATAGCACATAGATCAAGGGTTCCTAATTCCCTCAAATCAGGGTTAGACCCAACACTTATCTCGCTCCGCAAACAATCAAAGCAACTACGGCCTTTCCTCTAAAATTCGCCTCCGAACCAATCGAATCTAATCAAAATCGATTTAATATCAACAAATAATGCTAGGAAAATCAATTACGATACATAAAGTTAAGATCTTTACACTTTTCCCAAAAAGTCAACAAAAGTCAACTCCGAGCTCGCTTGGTCAAAACCCGAGGTTTGGACTGAAACCCAATTACCCATTCACCCCCGAGCCAGGTCATATAATTAGTTTCGAAATCCGACCTCAATTTGAAGTCTAAATCTCAATTTTACAAATCCCCCAATTCTACCCAAATTCCTAATTTTTACCATGAAAATCCCATATTTAATGTAGAAAACACTTGAAAAGTAATGGATAATTTAAAAGAAATAGTTTAAAGTTGCTTACCAAAGTAATTAGGAAGAAAATCTCTTGAAAAATCGCCTCTAGGGTGTTTAGGGTTGAGAGTATGTGAAAAATGAGCTAAATCCCATCTTCTCAGCTTTTTGTCCAGGCGCAGATGTCGCAAGTGCGACCTGTATGCGAAGAATCCATCGCAAATGAGAGGAATCCCACACTTCTGCTTTCATCGCAAATGCGATGATTTGTTCGCAAATGCGAACTTTGACCTTCCGCAAAAACGACTCAGTGATCGCAATTGTGACCAACACCCAGGCCAGGCCATCATCACAAATGAGATAGAGAGTTTGCAAATGCGAACTCTTCAGGCCACTGTGCTCTTCGCAAATGAGAGCATGAAGCTCGCAAATGCGGTTGTCGCAAATGCGACTAATTTCTCGCAGATGCGAGATCTGAGCACTAGCAAAAATCTAATCTCCTATGAACTCTCTGAAACGCGTACGAAACTCACCCTAGCCTTGGGGCTCTAAGCCTAACATGAATAAAAGTCCAAAAACATCATGCGAACTCGCTCGCGCGATCAAAACACCAAAATAACGCCTAAAACTACGAATCAGACACCAAAACGAATGAAATTTTCAAAGAAACTTAAGAACATGCAAATTTACAACCGGACATCCGAATCACGTCAATTCAACTCCGTTTTGCACCAAAATTTGTAGACAAGTCATAAATATTGATTAACTATACCAAGTTCCGGAATCAAAATTCCAACCCGGTAGCAACAAAGTCAACTTACGGTCAAACTTAGGAATTCTTTAAACATTTAAATTGCTAGTTTTCAATAAATTACGTTAAATGAAGTTAGGGACTTCAGTATTTGATTCCGAGCATACGCGAAAGTCCCAAATCATGATACGGAACCATCAGGGATGTTAAAATACCGATCCGGG